TTGGTTTTTATGGCTGAATAGAATTCCATTGTATAAATATACCACATCTTCTTTATCCAGTCACCTGTTGATGGACATTTAGGCTGTTTCCATGTTTTGGCTATTGTAAATAGTGCTGCCCCCTGAGGCTCTTGATGGACATGCGGTTTGTTTCTTGTTTTTAGTTGTAATGAATAAAAGCTTCTATGAATATTCTTGGACCTATTGTTTGGTTGTCATAAGCACTGATTTCTATTGGGTACATACCTAGGAGTGGAATTCTTGCATCATGGGGTGTACACTTGTTTAGCCTGAGTAGGTGCTGCAAAATCTTTTCCAAAGTGCTTCTAACATTTTAGAGTTGGATAGTCTTAATAGTTAATGTCATTAAAGGGGGTTGGATAATCTTAATGATGTCATCATCCGTGATGCCAACTCATAGCCCCATCTCCAGTGAGGAAGCATACCTGTCAGGTAGCCAGAGGCCTTGTGTCTCCTGGCCAGGCCCTATCTTTTCTGGCTTGTGGTGGCTGGGCTCTGAGAAGGTCCAGCTCTCCAGCTCTTTTTCAATATTCCTTATCAGTCACCAAAGCGTCTGTCATTACAATCCTGCCTGGCTATGGGCAAGCCACAGTGTCCAAGATTACAGCTTATCTTCCATTGGAGCCTGTTAAATCAATGTCTTCCTTGTTGAGAGGCACCCCAGGCCTCTTACAGACATCCATGCAGCCTTCTAGTCTTATCAGCACCTGGCCCACACATCATGCATTGGTGGGTTGTTGTTTCCTAATGAGATTTCTTGGGGACCATGGCCATAGATGGCCATCTCTTCCAATGCATTTTCATTGCAAATGGTGACAGTTTCAGACCCATTCCCCAGATTCTAGGCTGTTTCTTATATAGGGACTATGAGCTGATTATAAAATCCATAGAAAGTATGAGTTAATAAAGACCTCAGTGTTTATCTAATCCACTCCCCTCCTATTGGTGGGGAAACTGAGGCCCATGAAGTCTGACTTGTCCAAAGTCACACAGCTTGTCTCCTGACAACAAGCCTAGGTTCATTCCTCCATGGCAGCCAGACTGGACACTCAGACTCTGGGTTGGTCGCAGCTGCCACTGTCTGCAGAACCTGCTGCTGTTTGCAGAGATTCTCATGGCTGAACGTGGCCTACATCACTCCCAATGATCGCCCCACAAGCTTTTTGACCTGCAGGCAGTCTACCTCTGTGGACCCACCTCTGTAATTAGTTCATGACTGTCCCATCAGTGTTGGCTGGGGAGACTCTATTAAGGTGCTACCTGTGGCAACAGTGGAACACATCAGAGGTCTACTAAGCACTGCTCATTTATCCTGTGTTATCACATCCACTCTTGTGAGTTCTCAGGTTGGTAGCATTCTCTCCATTTTAGAAATGATAAAATGGAGGTCCAGAGATCACTAGTGGTTTGCCCTGGGTAATACAGAATATAAGACTGCCCTGTCAGCCGCACAAAGCCTCCCTGTTCTTTGAGGCCTGGTTCAAATGCTGCCTCTTCCATAGAGCCTTCTGTGATTCTTCCTCTAGCAGAAGGTGATGCCTCTCCCCTCTGAGCCCCTAGGGCCTTCTATACCTGTCTTATGATGCTCAGCAATTTCACCATGGGATATCCTGATAAGTTCATTTATTCAGCGTTCACTGGGTACCCACTATATTCAAGGCCTTGTGTTGGGGGTACCAAGGTAAAGCTCATGGTTTGGTAGGCAGAAAGACAAGAATCCTGAATCTGGTAGACATACAAATTAATGTTTTGTTGTTATGCTGGGTGAATGATGGATACAGAAGAAGGGAGGATGCAGAGCAATCATGGGATACTTTCTGGAGAAAGTTACACATTTTATGTACAGGTTTTATCTTACCTCTGAGCACCTCTTTAGGGCAAGAACTCAGTTTTTACCTCTTTGTATCCCTTGTGCCCTGTATTAGCTCTCTCTTCCACTCTCTCCACCCTCAACTGTGAGTAGACAGATGTGCTGGAGGCCTTGACATCCTTCCCAGAAACCAAATACTGGTGGGCTGAGGGTTGGGGGCTGGGGGCTGGTTTGCCTTTAGGGCAATGGGGCTAGACACTGAAGGAGGGCTGTGTACTCTCCCAGTTCAATAATTTTCCCTTTGGATCCCCCCAGTCATATCCTCCCTCCGGTCCCCTAGCCCCGGCCAGACTTCAGCCCTGGGTACTGTTGGAGAAGTCAGGGAGGAGCCAAAGTCTTGTGAGAGCTTCCAGGCCCCCAGTGAGATCTTCTGTCCCTTGGAGAGGAGGCTGGTGCAGGCCCAGGGAGCAATGAGGGAAACGAAACAGGCCTCTGGGTAAGGGAAATGTGCAGCTGGTGAGGCTGGGGGATATCTCAGTTAGGTTCATTAAAAGTAGAGCCTGGGATGATTGGCAGGGGTGAGTTCAGGCGAGTGATTTGCTGAGAAAGTGCTCTCAGGACAAACTGTAAAGGGACAAGGGAAATAGCCAGGTGAAAATGTGGTTTAGTTGACTTTGACTCAGCGTGTTCCCCAGGAAGTGAGGGGTGGGGTGGGTTCTGGAGTATGAACAGCACCACCATCATCCCATCTTAAGGCAAGAGGGCTGGGCTTCTGCATGGTGTCCATCAGTCATTGGAGGGTGTGTGTGTGTACTGGGGAAGGGGGTGACCTCCTATGCATGTCTGGTCCAGGCAGCTCCCACTGGCTAAGGGCAATTTCTTGGGGAAGGTGAGCTCTGTGCGCCTAGCAGCTAACACAACAGCTCGGAATGGAGGCACCTGCCAGATCCGGGGAGCTGGGCAAAGCACCAGCAGCCTCTGTGACAGGGGGCTGCTAAGATAGTGATGCTCACTGAGTGATAACCAATCTGTACAGGTTACAAAGCCTCCTCACAATCCTCAGTTCATTGAAGAGTATAGATCTCTTGCAAGGGTGTTGGGATGGCAAGGAATTGGTCCTTTCCTGAGACCCTGGCCCTTCCAGTTCTGGCCTGGGGCCCTAGGAGGAGACTTTCTTGAGCTTGATGGGATCAGTCCCCGTGGGATGGCCTGGGGAGGTCTGGGCTGACCTCTCCTGCTGACACACTTAGGAGGAAGCCTTAGACCCCCTCTGGCCTAGGTGCCTCTTGTCTAAACCTCCCCCTTTCCCACCAGCTCCAGCCCAGGCTCAGATCGTGCATGCAGGCCAGGCGTGTGTGGTGAAAGAAGATAACATCAGTGAGCGTGTCTACACCATCCGAGAGGGGGACACCCTTGTGCTGCAGTGCCTTGTCACCGGGCACCCTCGGCCCCAGGTAAGCCCCTACCCTGGCTTCACTTCCTCACTCTCCATCCCACTCTGGGATCAGAAGAAGCAGTAGGAGCTGGGGACAATGGCATGTTAACAGAAGACAGGAGCCTGGGGCTGAGGAAATAGCTGGAAATAAACACTGTAGGGGAAAGGCTAGAGGCTGTGGGCTTATTCACCTGAAAACACTGATGGCTGAGGGCAAAAACTGAATGTCAGTTGTTCAGTTCCTCTCCATTCCCTACTGAGCAGACACTCCCTCAGATATACCTTCAACCACTGTTTGAGGGCAGACCCTGTGCCAAGCACTATGCTAGGTACTGTCTCCAATGTTTTCTCTTTGGAGCCTCCCAACGATGCTGTGAGGAAGGCATTAGGGCCTTCTATTTTAGTTGAGGAAATTGAGGCTCAGGGAGGTTGGGTAAACTCCCAAGGTCACCCAGCTCTTGTGAGGCTGGAAGCAGAATTTGAATCCAGAACCATTGTTCTCTGCAGCTTAGCACAATTCCTCCCAGTGTATCTGTCTTTGGGTTAGGGGCCTGAGGAGTTACCAATAACATATAATACAGTCTCTACTTCAGGCTTTCAGTTGGCAAGCCCCACACTTTTGAGGTTAAGAGACTCAAATCTATTAGAAAATAACAGAAGACGAGTATCTGGAAAAGCCAGGGGAATTTTGTCCCAGACCAAGTGTATGGTTCAGGCAGGAAGTGTTGGCCGGTTATCACTGAGAGCTGATGGGAAGAGGCAGGAGGATGGGCTGGAGGGATGAGGGAAATTTGCTGGCAAGTTGCTGTGAACTTTAGGAGCAGAAGAAAGGTTTTTGATTGGCTCCCAGGAAGCACAGTGATTGCAAAATCCTCTTTTGGGGATAATTTTAGGAACAGGGACAGCTTTGGTAGGTTTGGCCTTGAGACAAGCAGATATGTTTAAATGTTTAAAGATTAATGGAAGGAATGGAATCCATAAGACAGGAGATTATAAAACCTGAGCAGTTAAGATACGGAAAAAAAGCAAATAGAGATCCTAGAAATAAAAATAATAGAGTCTCTGGAAAAATTGGCCTCCATACCATAGAAATAGCTAAAGAGAAAACTGGTGAACTGGATGACAGATCTGAGGAAATCAGCTACAACACAGTCTGGAGAAGACAAAGGAAAGGAAAATGTGAAAAGGAAGCTGGGAGACGTGACAGAATGAGAAGCTACAGCATACACTGAGGCATTACAGAAGGACTAGGAAAAACTGAGAGGAGGCAATATTTAAAGAGATAAAGGTAGAAAATTTTGTAGAATTAGAGTAGTGCGAACCCTCAGATGAACAAAACAAACCGAGCCCTAAGCATTTTGTAAACAAACCCCATCTCGGTAAATCACGGTAAAACTGCAAAATGTTAAGTACAAAAAGAAAACATACTTTCATGGTCTCATTCTTTCTCCAAAGCACCCTCTGATCTACGTCTGAATGGCCTGAAAACACGTGTAGTGTTCTTGAAGTTTTGTAACCCCTGGGTCCATGAGGATAGAGTTTAGGGTGGTAAGGGGATGACAGTAGCAACAGAAAGGCCTGCAGTGGTCCCTCCCTGCATGAGAAGGTTGTTCTTTCACCCACATCTCCCAGCCTTGTTGTTTTTATGGCCTGTGCTCTGACCTATTTACCAAGATCAGGGGCCTTGCCCTATGTCAGTAGTCAGCAATCCTCTCCAACTTTTAAGATGGAAGCTTCCCTACCTTATCCTCCAATCCTCACAATGTAATAATCTGAAACTGATCAGTTTTTCTTAAACCTCTGGTACTTGGAGTCGTAGCTCCAGTTTCTTGTTTGAGCCTTGATGTTTTCCCATAATATAAGGCAATGTTAATAGTAATACAAATTTCCTGAGTGCCTGATGTATATCAGGTGCCATGCTTAGGTGTTTTATGTACGTTCTTTCTAAACCTCACAATGACCCTGCAAAGTGGGTTTTATGCTATATAATAGCTATAGTTATCTAGTGCTGCATAACAAATGCCCCAAAACTTAGGGGCTTAAAACAACACACACCTACCATCTCACAGTTCCTATAGGACAGGAATCCTGGAGCTGCTTAGTGGGCTGGTTCTGGCTCAGGGTCTCTCAGGAGGCTGCAGTGATTTGAGGACTAACTGGGGCTGGAGGGTCCACTTCCAAGCTAACTCCCATGGCTGTTGGCATGAGGCTTCTGTTCTGCCCCTGTGGCTCTCTCCATAGGGCTGTTCATGACATGACAGATGGCTTTCCCCAGAGCAAGTGATCTGGGAGAGCAACCAAGATGGAAATCATTGTCTTTATAACCTGATCTTGAAAGGATACACCATCACTCCTGCCTAACTCTATTGATCACAGAGATCATCCCTGGTATAAAATGGGAGGGATACAGGAAGGTGTGGATACCAGGAGGCAGGGACCACTGGGGGCCATGGTGGAGGCTGACTATCACATAGACCTCTTTCACAGATAAGAAGTCTGAAGCTAGGAGATGAGTTACCTACCCAGGGCCACCAAGCTAGAAAGTAGAAAAACAAAAATTTACTCAAATTCTTAGTCTCCCAGGCACAAACTATATCCTCATTTAGTCTTCCCAGTAAGCGTAGGAAGGGAGTATTATTTCCATTTTACAGATAAGGAAAGGAAGGCAGGAGAGGTTGGGTAACTTGCCCACAAATCCATGCCCTTAATGACCGTACATACTGTCTTTTTCAAACCCTCCTCCATCTGACCGGATTCATTGGGCTGTTTACTGAGAGGTCCTACTTCCAGTGTGCATTCACATGAGGCTATTTGAGTTAATTTCCCAGGCCTGTGTATGCCCTGTGTGTGCTGGTGGAAAAGTACGGGGGTGGGCAAGGAGACAGCTTCAGGGTGTTCAGCCTGGAGCCTCCCTCCCTCACTGTGGGCACTGTAACTCTGACCTGCCCGGCCTGCCCAGGTGCGGTGGACCAAGACGGCAGGCAGCGCGTCGGACAAGTTCCAGGAGACATCGGTGTTCAATGAGACACTACGCATCGAGCGCATCGCGCGCACACAGGGTGGCCGCTACTACTGCAAGGCCGAGAACGGTGTGGGTGTGCCGGCCATCAAGTCCATCCGGGTGGACGTGCAGTGTGAGTTGGAGTTCCCCTTCTCTGTCCCGGGGCCAGAGTCTTGACCCTGGGGGCTCAGGCTGGGAAGGAGGAGTGAGGAGGAGGATGGAAAAGCGGTACCTCCATGGAGAACAACAGTACAGACTTTCTCTCTTCCGGATCAGGGAAGGGCATCTCTGGTGTTCCTTTGATGTGCACTACCCCATACCACCCACACATTCCCACCTGTAATCCCATATGAACCTTGCAGCATCCCTGTAAAGCAGTCAGAGAGGGCAGGACAGGTTGGATTATACCCATTCCACAGATGAAGAAGCTGAGACCAAGAGCTTGTGACTTTCTCATTGCATAGACTTTTGACTGTGGTCCAGTGTCCTTCCCACAGAACCTCATATCTCTGTTTTTGTCCCAGGGCAGACCTGAAACTTCCCTACCCCAACACTTGCAGGACCAGGCACCCCTCAATCCTTGCTGGTGGCTGAATGAGAAGACCCCAGTCCCTCCCTCTCCTCCATGGACATCCATCCTCTTGATCCCCAAGAGGCTATCTCCCTGCTTGCCACTCACCTCTGTGCCCACCCAGGCTGATGTAGGTACTCAGAAACTGTGGCACCAGGCCCAATGGCCTGTCTGCCACCATCTTAATATCTGCAATGAACCTACCCATTAAATATACCCCTGCTCCCAAGTGGGACCTTGAGCAATGGAACCTCAGGTCCTCTCTTCTGTCTCCCATCAGCCACCCGGGGACCTGCCAGACCCTGGGGCTGAGGGTTGTTTCTCAAATTAGTGCAGCTGGAAGCAGCTGGCAGGCATAGTTTGGGCTTCACCAATACCCTGCCTTTGCCCATGGCCTTGGTTATGACTTCTATCATAGTGAGCTGTGGAAGGAGGACAGAATGACTGGATGTTAGGCTGTGGAATGTTGCTGCCTTTGATTCACAACCCTGGCTGCACATTAGACTCTCAAGGGGATCTTTAAAAAAAATAATAATGTGTGGGTCCTCCTTCCAGAGATTCTGATGTAATTGATTGGGGGTGGGGGCCTGACATCAGGATTTTTTTCTTAAACATTTTTTAAAAGTTGAGTATTAAACTACACGCAGTAGAGTGCACTAATCCCATGTACATTTCAATGAATTCTTGCATATATATGTTCATGTGTAAACACCATTCAGTTCAAGAGCATTTCCTAGAAAGGACCCTAGAAAGTTCCTTCATGCCCTCTCCCAGTCAATAATCTTAGAGGTAATCACTCTTCTGACTTCTGATACCATCAGTGAGCTCTGCCGGGTATCAGTATTAAAAAGAAAATCTCCATGTGATTCTATTGTGCATACAGGAGTGAGAACCACCAGTCTAGTTCAATTTACTGGTGAGGAAACAGGCCCAGAGAGAGAAGGGATTTGGGCAGGTCATGCTACAAATTAACAGCTAACCTGGGATTTGAACCAAGTTTTCCTAATTTCCAGTCTGCAGCTGCTTCCTCCATCCCATGATAGGAGGGTGCAGATAGACATCCCCCACCCTCCATGCAGGTCCTTGGGGAGGGATAGCTGAGAAGCCATCAAGTCCAGTCCTCTGCTTCTGACAGGTTGGTCAAGCTTGCAGGGCAGGGAGGCTCTCTGGAAGCATCCCATGAGGGTGACTTAACTTTCCCTGAGGGCTGCCAGGGGCCCAAGCCCCGCATGTTGGGATTACCCAGCTCTGATTCCATTAGGGCTGTGCCCTTGCAGACCTGGACGAGCCAATGCTGACGGTGCACCAGACGGTGAGCGATGTTCGAGGCAACTTCTACCAGGAGAAGACGGTGTTCCTGCGCTGTACTGTCAACTCCAACCCACCTGCCCGCTTCATCTGGAAGCGGGGCTCTGACACCCTGTCTCACAGCCAGGACAATGGGGTCGACATCTACGAGCCCCTCTACACCCAGGTCAGGACAGGTGGCAGCTGGCCCGGTCTCATGGCTCATCCCACACTCCTCCTCCTGCACCCTACAAGGCAGGGTTCTGGGGGTGGGGTGTGAGTCCTCACTGTCTGGAGTTCCAGGGACTGCCCTGACTCCAACAGTTTTCTTCTGACATCAGAAGCATGCATTCTAATTGGGCTTCAGACAACCTGGAGCAGACCAAATCGGGACAGAAAGGTCAGGGAGCAATGGTGAGGACAAGAGAATCCTCAAGCAACATGTCCTCAAGAACATTGCCAGTTGGGAAAGGCACCCCCTAGGGGCAGACAAGTCATCCCTGCCTGCTGCTGGCTGTCTGGGTCTTGGGAACTCATGGGCAGGCAGAGCAGGAGTTGGGGTAGAGAGATGACTCACTTCCCACAGGTCTCCTGCAGTCCCAGGAGATGGTGATGAAGCCATCCTGCCAGGGAGAACTTTCAGAGGCAGCTTTCCTAGGTGGCTGTCAGAACTCCATATGTGGCTGTGGCTGTGGCCATGGCCTGTGGGCCCAGCCCTATGTTTGTATGGGTTGTAAGACAAAGCAGGATTCCCTCCTTATCCTTCCATTTCCCAGAGTGGGGCAACTGAGGCCTCATCCTGGCCAGTGTGTACCAGGACACCCTCAGACCCATGGAAGTCCAGGGCATGGGGAGTGTGGTACCTTCCCCACCCAAGGCTCTGTGTCCCTGGGGATAAATGGTATGGAGGTTGGGAAAGTTGGGAACTAGAATAGGAATTTGCTCTGGTGCTTGGTGGATGTGTATGAGACCGCTGGAGACTCAAGCAGGCTCCTCACCCCAGTGGTCCACTGCTGCCCAGGGGGAGACCAAGGTCTTGAAGCTGAAGAACCTGCGGCCCCAGGACTATGCCAGCTACACCTGCCAGGTGTCTGTACGCAACGTGTGCGGCATTCCAGACAAGGCTGTCACCTTCCAGCTCACCAACACCACGGGTACAGGCACTTCCTCTCCCATCCCCTTGCCCACCTGGGCTGAGTCCCTAACCAGGAGATGGTGCCCACCCTACACAGACCCCAGGCACATCACCATGAGTGTGTCCCCTCCTCTGTTCCGTGTGTTCCCTCCCTTCTCCCTGCAGGCCTTCCCCAGCCCTTCATGGTTTCCCTCCCTGCTTCTTCTCCCCAGCATCCAGCCCTACCTCACAGTCCCCTAAGACCCCACCTCCTTGTCCTCCTAGCACCACCAGCCTTGAAGCTGTCTGTGAACGAAACTCTGGTGGTGAACCCTGGGGAGAATGTGACGGTACAGTGTCTGCTGACAGGCGGTGATCCCCTGCCCCAGCTGCAGTGGTCCCATGGACCAGGCCCACTGCCCCTGGGTGCTCTGGCCCAGGGTGGCACCCTCAGCATCCCTTCAGTGCAGGCCCGAGACTCTGGCTACTACAACTGCACAGCCACCAACAATGTGGGCAATCCTGCTAAGAAGACCGTCAACCTCCTGGTGCGATGTACGTGGCTCTCCAGGGGTGGGAGGGACCTCGGGAAGCAGACAGGGTCCCTGCCCCTCAGGAACTGAAAGGGACCTGTCTGCTTCCCCTTGGTAGGGGAGAGAGGCTGAGGAGGCAGGTTCCAGAGCTTTGATTTCCCTGCAATTCAGGTATCTGCCAGCAGATGACAGGACGAAAATTTGTGTAGAGTTTTATCTACAGTTTACAATCTTGACAAATTTACATTTTCAAATGTCACCTCAGCAATTCAAAAAGTAGGAAGAGCTGGTATTGATTGCCCACATTTGTTTTAGATTGGGAAACTGAGGCTGCACAATCTAAAAACGTACAAATACTTTTCTTACTAAGCTTCAGCCTCAGTAATTGTCATTAGTTGCTTGATAAGATCTTTATTTTTGCTGCTCTGCTTTAAGGAGAAAACTTTAAATCCTTCTGCTTGTGCAGCTTTAGGTTGTTTTAAAATTTATTTTTGAAGAATTTTTTTTTAAAAGATCCAGGCTTGTTTCCAGCTCTTTAGCACTTGAAAGTAAAGTACAGCTTCTGTCAAATTCAACTGAGGGACTTCTGATAAAATGAACACTCTTCTTTGTTCATCTCTCACTAGTGCTCTCCCTGACTCTCCTCCCAAAAAGAAGCTAGCTATCTATGACTTTTGGCTTAATTCTGATTAAGCAGAGAGAAAGATAATAGTCAAACTGTGGCTATCTGATTACTACCTTTTCCTTTGATGATACTTTTCCCATCAGAAGATTGTTTTTCTCCACCTGATTCCATCTGGCCTTTAAAACCTGAATTAATAAGATTGCGATTTTCATCAAATACTTGCAGTCACCTCTTGAGGTGACACGTAACCATTTTGTTCAGACCGGTCCTGATTTATGGTTGTTGTACCAGAGTCCTATCCAGTGAGCACCTAATATTAAGAATTCTGTCTAACTCTTGGCATACATCAGACAATATTCAGATTTTTAAAAGAGGCCAGACCTTTTTCTTTCCAAACTCTGTATTTTTCTGTAGTTGCATATAAAATGATTGTATTGATGTTTTTTGATGATGCAAACTTGTTGCAAAGAGTTAAATAGCACAAAAGAGCAAGTTAAAAATTTCCCCTCAATTTCCCTCTGTCCCACTCTGTAGATAGGACCACTATGACATTCTGGTGCATTCTTCCAAAATTTGTGTTTTCTATATTCAGGGTCTAAAACAATAATAAAAATAAAGCAGTATAGTAATTAAGAATGCAGGCTCTGAGTGTGAGTTCAAGGTTGGCTATTTACTTCTTTGGGCAAGTGAATTAAACTATCTGAGCCTCTGTTCCTGCCTTTGTACAACAGGGACAACAAGGTGCCTCCCACAAAGATTGTGGGACGGGCTAAATGAGGAAACCCACATAAAGTGCTTAGAGCAGGGCCTCTCACATAGTGTATGCTTGGTCAACAGTGGCTGTAATGATTACTACATCCACTTTTCTACAGTGAGCTCTTTTTGAACTTTCTGAAACATATCTGAGCAAGCGGAACAACTTTCAAGCAGAGAAGAGTGATGAATTCTCCTGGGAGTGGGGGTTGTAGCCCCCAACTTCCAGGAGGGCCAGTTAGAGGGGAGAAGCTGCATCTGGTTGGGGGGGTGGGGGTGGGACATAGAACTCTGGCTTTGGGCCAGCCTCAAACCACCCTTTCCTCCCCATCCACCCATAGCTATGAAGAATGCCACATTCCAGATCACCCCAGATGTGATCAAAGAGAGTGAGAACATACAGCTGGGCCAGGACCTGAAGCTGTCATGTCATGTGGATGCAGTGCCCCAGGAGAAGGTGACCTACCAGTGGTTCAAGAATGGCAAACCAGCACGCATGTCCAAGAGGCTGCTGGTAACCCGCAATGACCCTGAGTTGCCTGCCGTCACCAGCAGCCTAGAACTCATCGACCTACACTTCAGCGACTATGGCACGTACCTGTGCGTGGCTTCCTTCCCGGGGGCACCTGTGCCTGACTTGAGTGTCGAGGTCAACATCTCCTCTGAGACAGGTGGGCAACTGGAGGGGCAACAGGGAAGTGTGAGGGGGCTGGAGAGACCCACAGAGGGGAGGTGGGGGCAGCAGTTGAGAAAGAGAGGCCACAGTGAGGTGGATACCATTTGTTCATGCCACATGCACTTATTAAACATTTGTTGTATGCCAGGCATCGTGCTAGGCGCTGGAGTAAAATGGTGGGCAAAACAGGCTCTGCCTTCATTGAACTTAGTAGGAGGCAAATATTTTTCAGATCATCCCACAAGTAAATATATCACTGCAAACTGTGATTCATGAGAATCAGGAAAGAGTTACCTAAGACAGAATGTTTGATTTGAGATCTGAGGGAGGGGCAGGATTTTAGTAGGCAAAGTAGTGCAAGGGAGGGTGGAAGAGAGGCAAGACAGGCCAAGAAATCAGCATGTACAAAGGCACTGAGGCAGGAAAGTGCATGGACTGTTTGGAGCACTGAAAGAAGGAGAGTGTAGCTGGGAGAATGGAGTGAGGTGAGAGTAGAGAGGTTGACAGGGGCCACATTTTGCAGGGGATTTTGCTCTTTATTCCAATAATAATAGATAACAATGAAATAATGGCCAACATTTACTGAGTACTTACTTTATGTTCTGATGGTTTT